ACACGAGAAATTCCCAGTAGGTCACCCATCATGGGAGTGCTATCGCCTACTGCTCGCTTAACTTCGGAGTTCCCATGGAGCCCGAAGCCAGTGAGCTCCCAAAAGGCCTCGTGCTAGGTAGAGATGGGAATATACATATAAGGATCACCCCCTGGGTGATGTGGGATCTTACACTCATGGTCTTACTCTAGCAAAAGAAAATTAGTTATACATACTTGTTTTAATACATAAGGAATTATCCATTAAAAATCAAAGAAAGAAAACACCTTTTTTTACAAGACGGGCTCTCCGATCTTCTCCTCAAAGAGAGGAGCATGCTTCTTTCTGCTTTATTGCTTCCATCCTCTATTTTTCCCTATGTCGCTCTCTGTTTTCTTCTCTTGCTCTCTGTCTGTCCGTCTCCACCTTTGCCGTGTGTTGCCTTCAACCAATGGTAATGATTTTTCAAAACCACAAAGGCCATAAATGGAAGGCAATCGCAATTCCACTTCATAGTGGACACCCCGTGTTCTCCACCCTCTATGTTCCTACTTTTCTCTTGCTTCACCACAGTAGCACGATATTGTCAGCTTTGGGCCCTAACCACGTCCTTACGGTTTTGTTTCTGGGAACTCACACAAGAACTTCCCAGTGGGTCACCCATCATAGGAATGCTCTCGCCCGCTACTCGCTTAACTTCGGAGTTCCCATGGAACCCGAAGCCAGTGAGCTCCCAAAAGGCCTCGTGCTAGGTAGAGATGGGAATATACATATAAAGATCATTCCCCTGGGCGATGTGGGATCTTACAATCCACCCCCCTTAGGGGCCCGACGTCCTCGTCGGCACACCACGGCCAGGGTTAGGCTCTGATACCAAATTGTCACATCCCAGTCCCGGGACCCCACCACATCCCAGACCCGCTCCACCACCGTTGCACGATATTGTCGGCTTTAGGCCCTTACCATGCCCTCACGGTTTTGTTTCTAGGAACTCACACGAGAACTTCCCAATGGGTCACCCATCATGGGAGTGCTCTCGCGCGCTACTCACTTAACTTTGAAGTTCCCATAGAACCCGAAGCCAGTAAGCTCCCAAAAGGCCTTATGCTAGGTAAAGATGGGAATATACATATAAGGATCACTCCCCTGGGCGATGTAGGATCTTACACTCATGGTCTCGCTCTAGCAAAAGAAAATTAGTTATACATACTTGTTTTAATACATAAGGAATTGTCCATTAAAAATCAAAGAAAGAAAACACCTTTTTTTACAAGACGGGCTCTCCGATCTTCTCCTTAAAGAGAGAAGCATGCTTCTTTCTGCTCTGTTGCTTCCATCCTCCCTTTTTCCCTCTGTCGCTCTCTGCTTTCTTCTCTTGCTCTCTGTTTGTCCGTCTCCACCTTTGCTTAGTGTTGTCTTCAACCAATGGTAATGATTTTTCAAAACCACAAAGGCCATAAGTGGAAGACAAGAGTAATTCCACTTCATAATGGACACCCCATGTTCTTCACTGTCTATGTTCCTACTTTTCTCTTGCTCCAAAGGCAAAGAAGTGGAATCCCAACCTAATTTTTTGCCGAGTGTTAATGACAAAGCAAAGCACAAGACAATTGTAGAGTAAAAAATAATCAAGAGGCGACACGTGGATTTTTAGGTGAAAAGGAAAAAATTACCCTCAAGACACACCGGGTTTCGTACACGCAAGCAGTGGAGAATCATCTATCAACCGAGTCAAGAATGCCCAAAATAGGTAACAAGTTCAAATTTATCTCATCCATCTTTATTCCATATTCTTTACAAGGAAATCATTCCATAACCTTCAAAACCTTCTCTATAAATTAAATTAATTAGGCTAATTAATGGATTAATTCCTAATTAATCCATTAATCACCAAATTAATCACCATTACACCCCAAAAAACATCCAAGGGCTGGCCATGCTCTATAAATAGGACTCCATTTTCTTTGAAAGGGGAGTTCCACACTCTTGCAAAACTCCCCAAACACTTTTCTCTCTAAAATCTAACTTTGGCATCGGAGGTTCTTTGGCCAAAGTGCCCCCCCATTCATCGTGGGCGCGCGAGGCTCTTGGCCTTGATCAAAGGTGTTGATTGTTTTGTAGGTGCAATTTTGTCAAAGAAGGAGAAGACGAAAATTTGCATCCACAACAATGATGTTGTCTTTCCTTTCTTATTTTATTGGCCAAATGGAGTGGGCAGATTTGGCCATAATGTTTTTTTTTTTTGGTAGTAGACCAAAAATCCTTAGATTTCAATGAATGAGATGTCCTTAGAAAGCTTGAAAGGTCTGCTTCAAAAGCTAAGAAGGAAGTTTCCTCAATTTAGGCTTTAATTATGTACTTATCTCTCGTGCAACCTTCAAAGGTCCAAACTGCCCTGTCAGCACGCTGACTTGGCTTCGTTCTTAAACTGGGATCATTTGGCTAGGAACTTTGAGCTGAAAACTTGATATGATCATCTTCAATCTCTTGTGAATCAGCTTCAACTGGAATCACTCAAAAATTCCACCGTTTGCATACTTTTCCACTAAACTCGATCTTGCTGCTCCTAGAAACACAATATGGCAAAAGTATCACAAATACTTAAAACTTCCAACTACACTCAACAAGAAAAGAAATATAAAAGGGCAAAATATATAGTATAAATATTGGTTTATCATCTAGCTTTGACTAAAATGCACTTGTAAAACAATCAACACCTTTGATCAAAGGCTTAAGCCTAACGCGCCCACGAGGTGAGTGGGGTTAGGCCAATAGATCTCCGATGCCTAAGTTAGTTTCTTTGAAAAGAGTAAGTGTTTAGGGCTTTTTAAGGTTATAAAAGCTTACCAAAATTTGGTAGAATTGGGAATATATATAGGAGTGAGGGTCGGCCATAGTGTAAGGGTTTTACCCTACACATGGCGGCATCCCATTGGCTAAGGTTTATGGAGAAACATTTTCAAGATATTAAATAGGAAATAATATCTTGAGATAATAGAATAAATATCCCTAATTGATTTAAATAGGAATTACTTACTTGAATGGACTCAAACTTCAATTGGGAATGTATTAATGATAGGATTTGGGTAATTAATCCTTATCTTTAATGCTTTGACTTTTCCTTGCCAATGTCAGGTGAGCTGTGGACAGTCCTATTCAGCTGCAGGGACCTTCAAGAGTGTGAACTATGTGTGGGAGTATCTGAGGAGTCTGTCCATTTAGTGAGGGCAATCTTGTCCTTTTTGAGCAAAAGTCCTTGTGTCGTCTCTAGAATTTTTAGAATTATTTTTTACTCCACAAGTAAGAAGAAGAGAGAGAGGCAAACTAAGGAACAACTAATCTTGCTCTAGCAACATCACAACAATCAAATGAGAAAAGTTCTTGTTTTAGCCATGTTCAAACCCTTGTCCAACTCCGAAAGCTTAGCTCATTAGACCAGCCAAGGCACCATCCACATTCAGTTTTAAAATCCAATGAAGATGAGGAGGAAAATGACTCTCTCTCCAAGTCCAAATAGTAGCAAAAGTAGAGAGAAAATGTGAAAGATGATCAAGGGACGAATTACAAACCTGGCATAAATTGTTTTTTTTTTGTTTTTTAACAAACAATATTATTTATGCTAAGGGGAGTGAACGAACTTCAGTTCACAATGGGATAACAAAAATGTTATCCAAATTCACTTTTTGGCAAGATTCAAACTTAAGACCTCTCACTTACAAGTGAAAGAATACTACTAGACCGTAGTATTAAGTGACGGAAGAAATCGTTGTTAGACTAGAATTACAACTTCTATAAGTGAACGGATTCTCTCCCCTCCTAGTCTCTCTTTCTTTCCCTCCTCTCTTATTTGAACAGTTACAGTTAAGCTACGTCAACGTTTGGTGTTAATTTTTTAATAGCCAAAAGAAGACAAAAAGCAATTTATGAGAGGAGGGGAAGGAAAGAGATGGGAATAGAAGGCGAGAGAATCCTACTCTATCTTTGAAATAATCAATCAGCAGAGCCTTCAGATCCTCTTGACCTTCCTTCCAAATAACACAACCATCTTTAAGTCTTAAACATGCTTTTCCTCCTTCCATTAAGAGTTGACAATTGAAAAACTTTGGTGCTCCTTGTCGCTGTCTTTAAGCGAAGAAACTCTGAATTTTGTTCCCAAAAACTTGAGTCCTGATTTAAGAGAGAATAATAATCTTGGAGCAGCTTATCTTCTAGATCAATGAGAAATTGAGAATGTCTGACCATGCCAGCAGCTGGTTCCTTGATCCGGTGGTAGACAGCGTGCAAGTAATGGTCCGCCAAAGAACGGTAGATAAGGGAGTTTGATATTGTTTTGACATTTTTGGAACTCATTTTCTGAAAAAATTCACACACAATATTGTTTCAATTTGTCTGATTAGTGTATGTAAAGATCAAATGACTCAGCCACGAGTTAAATAGCAAGTACATCCTACAAGTTATTTTTTTATACAAGCGATACCGAGGAAAGGGAAAATCGAAAACATGAGCTCGGGTGCAACACATTTTATTTGTTTTGATGGGTCCAAATATGAATCGATTGGTCGAAGGAAACAACGTATACTCTTAAACAATAAGTACCACTACCAATTTACATGTGTATGTTTTTTTGAGTACATTGATATTTTTGCACTAAGAGGAGGGGAGTTCGGCTAAACCACAGAATAGACAGCCTAATTTAGTATTGAATTCGCCATCCATGAGATTCGAATCTAAGACCTCTCACTTCCAAGTGAAGAAAAATACCACCACACCGTAGTATTGAGTGGCAATTTACATATGCAAGTTGTATCTTCCATCATTGATGTAGACGTTGATGCATATGGACTAATATAGAGACAATTTAGGTAATTATGTCTAAACTTTATTGTGAAAATGGTTTTATTCTCCGTTTACACCTTATTCAAATGTTTCGAAATAGGCACTTATTCAAATGTTTTTGAAATAAGCACTTATTCATGAAATATGCTTTTATCACATTTGTTTCTCATTTCTCCGCTTTTGAAATAAGCATATTGATGCTATTGTGTAACTCTACATTAAAATTGTTGAAATGGCGTGATCCTTAATTTGCAGCACACAAATTTTGCAGATGAACAAGCCATATAACTAATACTGCGATACGGAGGCAGTTTCCATGAACTCCTTGTCACATTCAAGAGCACTCATTGCTTCAGGTGGAAGACACACCTCCAAGTCTATGCTTCCTTTTTCGCGTCCTTCATACGATGACACTTTGCCACTAAACTTGGTTGAGTATCCGCTTCAAAGTGCTATCCCTTTTCCCATTCCAAATTCATTTCCATACATGTTGAATCTTGGTGAACCCCCCATCATAATACTGAATGGATCAAAATAGCTCACTTGGTACACAGCAGGAGACTTCAGCCACGCATCAAGAAGCTCTCGTATCACCTTGTCATTGTGGTTAACCACCGCCTCGTGCAACTTCCATGCCGCCCATCCAAACCCATGTTCAAGCAACTCACCTGCTGCAACAGTTTCTGATATAACGGGGTAAATTGAGTTCCCACAATATTCTCCAGACAACGGTGGGTTTATTCTTGCTCTATTATTCGCAACCAAACTGTACAAGGTATTGAATATCCGTGTTAATGATGGTTATCAAGCAATATATGGAAAGTTAAACGAAAGAAATTTTTTTGAGGATGTTATCGTAAAATTAGACCATGCCTGCAGCTGGTTCCTTGATCTGGTGATAGACAACGCGCACGAGTAATGGAGCGCCAGAGAAGGGCAGATAAGGACCGGAAGGAAGAAATTTTTGTGGTCTTGGACTCTGCATTGGCCTTTGCTTTAAGTTTGGCTATGGATTCCGAGGAGAAGTGAAACATTCTCTCCCTGAGAGGGGGAGCTTCATATATGCCAATGAACTCATGCGAGTGTTTGAAACGTAGGTTGATGATTGGGCCACGACCATCCGGAAACCAGCGCTCGAGAACAGGTGGGCGCGAGATATTGGCTATAAAATCATTGTGACCTCTTTGTGCTTGTGCTTGAAAGATTTCAGACCAAATTGTGGAGCCAAAAATAATCACAAAGTGACACATGGATTTTTGGGTTAAAAAGATAAAATTACCCTCAAGACATACCGGGATTCCTGCGAGCAGTGACAATCAACCCTCAACCAAGTCAAAAGTGCCCAAAATAGATAATAATTCAAAACCTATTTCATTCATCCTCATCAAATCCTCTCTACAAGGTAACCCCCAAAATATTCCTTTTAAATTATGTTAATTAGCTAATTAATCTATTAATGGCAATTAACTACAAAATACACTCAAAAACACCACAAAGGGCCGGCCACCTTCTCTCCAAAGGGGACCGGCCATGCCCTATATATACTACTCCATTTTCTCTAAAAACCTAAGTTCTACACTTGCAAAATTCTCCAAACACTTTTCTCTCAAAATTCTAACTTTGGCATCGAAGGTTCTTCGGCCAAAGCCCCCCATTCATCATGGGCGCGTGATGCTCTTGGCCTTAACCTAAAGTGTTAATTGTTTTGTAGGTGCAATTTTGTTCAAGAAGGAGAAGGCGGAAATTTGCATCCACGCAAATGTTGAAGAAATGCCAGAACGAGGTTCCATCACCAAGGCAGTGATTCAAGGAAGGCCCTATGACGATTCCATCCACAAGTTCCGTGACCTGAATCGTCAGCAAAGACATGGTGTGCCCGTCATGGTCTAATACCCTGTCATGATCGAAGAACGATTGGACCACCAACGGGACATCAGTCGGTGAAAGAATGTCAGGGATTGACATGTCCAGAGTTGCATATATGAATTTGGCCCCAGGGCTGTTGTTGAAATCCACGTACACCAAATACAAAGCCGGGTCCTCAGATTTCTTGGTAACCAAGCGACCTGTAAGCGGGTAGAAATGACCAAGCGCAACGGAAAGAGACTGCTTGAGCCTTTCCAACAGAGAATCGGTGAAGTTTTTCGGATCCCGTTTAGCTTCTGGAGGCTTGTAAAACAGAAGTCCTTTTTGGATATGGTGTACAGAGAGCATGGCAAGATCACCTGGTGTCAAGTAGAAGGGCTTATCTGACTCTTCAGAAGCATGGTGTGGCTGGACAAAGCACTCTGAAATTCGTTCAACATTTGGGGAATCCATTTTTCTTCACTTAGTGTTGCTTTGGATTGTAAAATATTGCTACCTGATCTGCTCTTTATACTCAATATATGATTGTTTAGTCCAAGTGTATGTTGAGATTAGAGGCGATATTGAACAAATCCGTAACGCAAGTAATTTTTTTTTATACAAGTGATATTGAACGAAGCAGAATTCAACACATGAGCTCGTGGACGGCATATTATTCTATTTGACAGTAGGTAAGACTTTTTAGTGTGAGACTATTTCGTTTTATGATAAATGGACACTGTTTCCTCTTCCTTTCCTTTTACAAAACGAAAAGATAGAAAAGTCGCATCTCTCTTCCTTTTTATTCATTGTTAATGGTTTAATGATCCTTTTTTGAACAAATGGTCAAATAATTCTATTGAATTCATCTAAAGTAAGGAGAAGATTCCAACTTGGGTGCATAGAGCAGAGCACACGGCTCTAACCGATTTGGCTAAACTCTGATCTGGATTGTTAATGGCTTGATTTACTTTGCCTAATTGTTCATCAACACTAGGAGAGTGCTGATCCCTTTGCGACAAAGTTCGTATTTCTCTTCATTAATTAGAGTAGTTTACAATATCATCTTTATCCGTAACTGAACATTGTAAACAATAGCATGATCCACAATCTGTAGCATTTTAGTTTGCACATTCAAGAGCTTTCATCGCTTCCGGGGAAAGACACGCTTCTAGGTTAATGCTTCCGCCTCCTCGGCGACCAGGATACAATACTACTCTCCCGTCATACTTATCCACCCACCTACATCTCGTCGCCAATTGTTTCCCCATTCCGAATTCATTTCCATACATGTATCTCGAAGAACTGCATATGGTCACAAGATACGGATCTAGATGCTGTCCAAATTGGTACGCGGTAGGAGACTGCAGCCATGTATCAATATGCGCAGTATCGCCTTATCATTGTGGTTCACCACTGCCTCATGCAACTTCCGGGCAGCTCATGCACTAGTTCCCCAGCTGTGCTAAACCCCTTTTAAGGCACTGACAAAGTTGCCAAAATAATGTTGGGACAAGGGTGGCTTTGGTTTTGATCTCTTATTGGAACCCACCACACAAGTGGTTACCTGGCTTGAAGTTGCATTACACACTTGTGTAATGCACCTCCAGACCAGAGCAAACAAGAACTGGAATGAGGAGATTTTGTTGAGACTAGAAGAATAATTCGCATTTGCCTTGGCTTTGAGTTTCGCTACGAATTCTGAAGTGAAGTGGAAAACTCTCTCTGAGTTGCGGACCCTGGTATCTGCCCGTGATCTTCATATCTGCATAAGGACGGTAGGAGACTGCAGCCATAAACGTCTGAAAACCAGCGCTCGAGGGCCGGTGGTTGTGAAAATACTGGGTGTAGTTTTCTCATTTCCTTGTGCTTGAAAGATGTGAATCGTCACTGAAGGCGTCATTTGACCATTGCCATGGACTGCTCTCTCATGATCGAAAAACGACTGAACCAGCAGTGGCACATCGGTTAGTGAAAGAACGTGGACACCAACAGGTCTAGAGCTTCTCCGGACCACCACCGGCGGAGAATGTATAATATCAGCCTTCTGAGAAGCCATGGATTTTGGAGGGTTGGCATGTAACATTAGGCGGGTATGTCGCCTGGAAAGTTGCAGAAATCCGATGGATACAGGTAGAAGGGCTGTTTCGATTCCTCTGGAACATAAATGTAGCCGCACATAGCACCCCAAGATGCGTTTTTCAACACTTACGAGATTCATCATTTCAGGGTGTTGCATAGGCAACAAGTTGAACATTATACAGAATTTTACCAGAATACGGGGGTCACCGTAAAAACTAGTCGATGATTAAGCCGACCAGAGTGGCAATTTCAGACGCAACAACTAATGTTAAAGGAATTTAAGAGAGATCCAAAATGTCCAAAGCAATTAACCAAAACAATTAAGCAAGCCAAATGTCTAGTCATTAACCAAAGTCATGAAGCAAGCCAAATAAATGTAACAATTGCCCGAAAACACAAAAACGCAGGAAAAATGAAGAAATTAAAGTCTTAAGTTCCAATTTCCCAAAAACTACGATAACTCAAACTCCAAACGATATCACATTCAAGAGGCAAGGTTGTCATTCAAGAGTTAATGAAGCTAGTTGATCAGCGCTGCTGTTAGCCTGCTGTTGGGCAACATTCCTCAGAACATCCATGGCCTCTGCAACCTTCGCCTTTAGAGCCTCTGGTGACTCGAGCAAATGCAAAACTTCGGTTTGGTCCATCTCCAGAAGCATGCCAGTCACCTTAGCTGCTGACTCATGCTCCAGCTGGTCAACGAGGGGATAGAGGGCTTCACCAAGCATCTGCCCACAAAACAAGAAAGAAATCAATTCGCTTCGTTAAGCAAGTCCAATCCTAATATCACTTTGTATGGTTTAAAATCGAACAAAAAAGAGATGGGGCTTACCGTCCGTTGCTGTTCAGTTGAAGCATTTGCAAGGGCAGTAGCCAAAGCCGGAACACCCTGGCCTCCTGCAGCATCACGTATAGGAATGGGACCCATGTCATATGGAACTGAATGCATGCCACTGCCGACTCCAGAAAATGGAACTTCCTGCATGTTGCGACCAGGTGGATAGCGGTACACACGTCCCCTAGGCAGCATCTGAAACACAAAGCAAAATGGGAATATCAGGAACATGGGCAAAAAGTAAAATATTAACACCAGTACAGAAGTTGTATCTTTTCAACTGACATGCTGCTGCATCATTGGCACAGGCTGCTGGTTTGGTTGCACAGGACCTGCACCACGTCGACCTCCTGGGCGTTGGCCCTGCTGACCCTGCTGAACCATGGGAACAAAGAAGTTTGGCATTGGTGCACCACCAGGCCTTAATCCAGGCACAAGCTGCTGTTGGTAACCAAATCCAGCCTGCACAATAAAGAAGAAGGTTGAGAACAAATAATCAAACAAGAATCATAATCAAAGAAAATCAACATAGAAAATGGATAAATCATTACTTGTGGAGGAATTATCGCTGGAGGTGCTTGTCCATACATAAATTGTTGCCCGAGGCCTGGAGCACCTGGAGGGTACATTGGCATACGTGGAGCCACTGAAGGTGCCATAGCAACTGGCCTCATTTGAGAAAACTGAGCCTGATAAAAAAAAATGTATTAAGTAATGGTAAAAAGAACGAAAAAAAAGATGAACAAAAAAGTTCCACCAAACTTCAGTGAACACTCCAAGCTAATCCTACCTGTAACCTTGCTTTCCTCTCTTCTTTCCTTTGTGCAAGTGCAACATACAGAGGCTTGCTAACAACCATTTTGCCATTCATCTCAGCAAGCTGGAAGTACAGAATCAAAGTAGACCAAATGTAATTTCGGATAACAAGTTTTCTGGTTTTATTCTTTTAAACAAACTCAGAGTTAAAAAACATACAGCTCGAGAAGCTTCTTCAGCAGTTGAAAAGGCAACAAAACCAGAACCTCTGCTGTTTCCATCGGGATCACGCATAACCTATGAAATCCAAAAATAACATGTTAAATCAGATCTCTACCAGCATAGCTAACTAACAAATCAAAGAAGTACATTGACCAACCTTGCATGAACTAACAGTACCATACTCCGAGAACAATTCCTTGAGTTTTTCATCACTGATGCTGTCATCCAAGTTCTTGATGTACAAATTGACACCTTGAAACTTATCACTAGCTTCCTTCATGCTCTGCTCAAATCTCTCCTTCAGTTCAAGCTCTCTCTCATACTTCTTCTGAGCTTTCCCAACATACCACTCCTTCTCGTCGATCTTCTTTCCATTCAAAGCGTCAACAGCTTTAGCAGCAGCTTCTGGATCCTCAAAGTTGACAAAACCGAAACACCTTGATTTGCCTTCCCCATCCCTCATCACTACAACACTGGTTATTTGTCCATGTTCACCAAAAATTTTGTTCAATTCATCTTCCGTTGTAGATTCGGATATATTCTTGACATAGACATTGTTAAATTTAGTCTTGCTAAAATTTCCATCCCTCTCCTGCTTGCGGAGAAAGTGTCCTACAAATACTGGCTTATCATTAAGCAGCATCCCATTTAACTTATCTATTGCACTCTGAGCAGCTTCCTCACTATCAAATTGCACAAAACCATAGCCCTTTGACTGGCCAGTGGCATCGGTGGCTATCTTGCAAGAAAGAATATTTCCAAAAGAAGAAAACGTCTCATGCAATGCTTTGTGGTCAATTGCCTTGTCCAGATTCTGCGCACACCCAAAAGAACAAAGTTAACATAACATATAAAACACCACCATACTTCATGGGAAGGAAATCGCAGCAATATCAAGAAAGTAGCTACCTTGATAAATATGTTTCCGGTTCCACTCTTTCTAATACTAGGGTCCCGGTGCGAATACATAATCCTGATTGATTTGTTATTCAGTGGAGTGAAGTTCAGAACTTCCAGTGCCCTTGCAGCTGCGTAGTTCAAAAAGATAAAATCAAATACAGCACATAACTGTGCCGATAACATTAGTAAAAGCCACTACACATATACCTCTCCAACACAACCAATACGCAAATAAACCCTTTGTCACCCATCAAAAATAGACAAATTCCAAAATATTAGCCCTTCCCAAATGTGCTTCTAATCAACCTGATTTAGCATATTAGCATAAAGCCTCTGGGCATCGAAACCTCATCCAACTTAATGTCTCTAATTGCAAATTCAATAATCCATTTCGATTAATCAAAAATAATAATACAATTCATATTAGAAAAGCAAATTTTAACATGGAAATAAAACATTCTCCAAAAATAACCAAAAAATAAATTAATCTAAAAACAATAACAGTGAAATTAATCAGAAGACTGACCATCCTGAGGACCGCTATAGTTGACGTAACCATAGCCGAGAGATCGGCGAGTGCTCAAGTCCCTGCAGACCCTCACCGACACGACCTGACCGACCTGGTTGAACAGATCGTACAGCTGCGAGTCGGTTACATTCTGGTCGAGATCCCCAACGTACAGCGACGTCGAAACAAACTGCGGGGGGCCACCGCCGGCGTTCGCCGCCACAACGTTCGGGCCGCTCACAGGAGGCTGCTGCTGGTGCTGAACTTGAATCTGAGCCATGTCACACCAAAATCACAAAACCCTCACTTCAAAATTTCCTCTTTTTGTTGGGAAGATTTTTCTGCAAACTCAAAGGATCGAAACTAAAAATTTGGAAAAACCCAAGGACCGGAAGTGAAACTCTGGATGATTTTTT